GGGGGGGGGGGAACTTTTACCTCAGCTAAACTACATATAATAGAGACTGTGTAGTTCGTCTATAGCAGGAAAATTCTTTTTTCTAAGAAGAGCTGTTTTTATTTTCAATTTTTAGACTGACGTGGAATACGTTGAACAATCAGTACCGTTTATTACCAATAATGGTGTACCATTATTTGGACTCAGTCCCGTAAAATACCCTAAAAGACGCCAACTGTTACCATTCTACTTGAGAATTCGACCTTCTCAGGTTACTTTTAGTTTTAAGCTTCTATTCTAAAATGTGAAACAATCTTTCAATTGGTAAACGTCTGAAGAGGTTGTTGTTTGTAGGTAGACCGTTATTCGCGAGTTGTATTTCCACTGTGTTTTGTGGCATTTCAATTGATTTATTGGACGATATTTATAACCACAACATACGTAAAATATATACAGTTAATCGCAAAATTAAAAGAAAGTTGATCGTCTCGATAATGAGGGCGATGAGACATTATCTACGCAGCAAGCTTCTTGAAAGAGCATAGTGACGAAAGCCACAATAGGCGATCTTTTAAAAGGGAAAATTGAGTGATTTTCCTGAAGAACTTGAAGGAAACTTAATTTTGTAGTGAACATTTTAGTGGACAATCCTGTATTGCTTTTAATTTGATTTATATCTAATTTTTTGCCCTTATTTTTTTCGTTTTTTTTACTGTTATATAAGTGCTACATAGCTTCTAAAAACAGATTTCTCTTCTGAATTATCATTCTTTTTTGCTTTATACAAAAAAAAAAAAACATTTACCTGCCTCATTGTTCAAACTCTACTGTTTCAGTAGCAGTTATTGCTGATATTTGCAGATGATAGTTAGCCATAGTAAATAAAAAAAGTATTTTTAAATGTGTATTTCTCAACTGCTTTTTTTCATAGTCCTTTTCTTTTCTACTAATTTGGTTCTCACTTACGCTATTTCATCTCACAGTTATATAATCTTTGTCTGTGGTTTCGTTGTTCCCGTTTTATTTTGCTTAAGTTTCTTTAAAGATTTTGAAGATGCAATAAATGCATCAAATATATATAATTTTATGCTCCTTGTGCTAAGTTTGCTAGGCTAGATCCGAAAGGCGGAGAAGTCTAAACCGTTACAGGTATGAAAAAGCGGCTGTACATTTGTAAAAATCAAAGAGTCATTTCTGCGTTTAGCTGTCGTGACTTACTGCAAAGTTACAGTCACGTAAATGTCTTATGACTGAAACAAAGTGACAGCTATTTGTTCTGCCATTTTGTATTTTGGGTCAGAAAACGACTGTGATCAGCTGCTTTTTCAAAGTTTTTGAAATAAGCCAACGAAGGTGTGGATGTTTAAGTGTATCCGGAGCACGACCGTGTGGTGTGATGACACTCAATCTTTGCAATCAAAAGATGTTTATAATTCACCTGGAAGAAGTTTAAGGTTGTTATAGCAGTATTAGTAGTGGTAAATCTTTGATGCAGAAGTTTAACTTACAAGATCAAAGTAATTTTACAATTCACTGAGAGATAAGCCAATTCTATGATTGTACAAAGAAAGTCTACTCTTTAAAATGTCAACGAATTGTTAGCGTTCTTGAATTTGATTTCATAAAGTTTGATTTCAAATCAGGTTTCCAGACGCTAAACTAGCAACAGTTTATAGTTATAAAGAAAATCTTACTTTGTTTTTTTCTTTAGTTTCATAACTGTGAATGCTTTTGTTTCAATAAATTTTTTTGGCTTTTACTGTGACCTGCAAGTACGTGCAGATATAGGTAGTAGCACTTATTTTCGTCATCTCACTATCATTCAAATTACATACTTAGGCAGTTTTTATGGATATCTACGTATCCACTCGAAAATGTGATATAAAAAGCGGTTTGAATAGAATTTTTTAACAGCTTATGTTTAGTTTCACTTTAGACTTTTTGTACTTTTTTCTAATCTCAGTTGGAATTTAATATTTTATCTGAGAGACAAATGCTGTAGGAAGAATCACCGTAGAAGAGCAGGAAAGTAATACCATATAAAAATTAAGTTCAGCTGTATTTTGCACTTTATTCTCTGCCTTAATACATCATATTTTTTCATAATAGCTCATTTTTGTAAAATATCACTAAAAATGGGTCGATCATCACTGCTGCCATTTCTGCGGTTTATTCTTTTGTTAAAAACAATTTGTAGTATTGTATTCTGCGCAATTAAAACAGAAAAAAATTTGGACGCAACTTTTATCAGCATTTTTTAGTGCTTTATTGCTGAAAAGTCAATAAACGCATTCTTTAAATGCCCTTTTTATAGTATTGAAAAACACCATTTTCTGTGTATTTATTTGCTGCTCGACTGAAAATACAGAAATTTTGATAAGTTTGTTTTTTGCAGTCAGAGCAGATATGGCAATAAAGATATAATAAAGTTTCAGGTGCGTTACTGTCGACAGGTTATTTTATGCTAAATCGATTGCACAAAAAAAAAACCGAGGACTTAAATGTCCTGGAAGTTACCAGTTGAAATGTCTTAAATTGAAAGGATTTTGCATAATATTTACCCTGGACGCAGCATTTGGTCAAAATGACAAGTTGAAATTTTTCGGCTTAAAATAACTGCATTCCGGACGCCTATATCCAAAAAAAAAGAGTAACCGTTTTTGAACAGCTTAAGAATGTATTTCTTTGTCAGTGTAGTTACAGATTGTCAGTGTAGTTACATTCTGTAATGGTTACTGTGTATGTTAAATTTGCAGAATAATTCCGCAGTAGTCAGAACAATAACATCTATGTAAAATATTGTCTTTTAAAGAAGAATCTGTTTTATGATGTCTAACTGGCAGTGAATTCTAGTTGCAAATTGCTGAAGTCAGGCCCTACCCAGTACTACCAAAGTAGGAGCGACTGAAAAAAAAAAAAAGAAAAAATTGACTTTTTGAGAATTTAGAGATAGCATCAAATCGTTTGACTTGTTTTATCTATTTATTTCTTTAGCACATAAGACAGTAGCAAAATTTTCACTAGAACGAATTAGTAGCAACTTGGTTTAATGGCACAGCTAAAAAACCCAAAATATCGTTTGCAATTGGAACTGATGCAGAGTACGTAAAGATTTGCAGCATGATCTATGCAAATTTAATCGAAAACCAGTGGCATTAGGAATTGAATTAAAGTAATCGCGTAGAAAGAGGAATAGCCATGTCAAGAAAAGCCTTTCCATACCTCTCTGCTAAACCCGTAAAAAGCCACTGATATCGTTAATAAATCAAGCAGTATTTAAATCAACAGCTATGAGACACCTTTAAAAAGCAAATACGACTTAAAAATAACCAGCTTTGAAATCTTGATGAATGATGCTGTTACAACCATTGTTTCCTGTTGTATCGCTTTTCCTACTCTTGCAGTCACCTAAACTGTTCTTTATCAGCTTTGAAATATCATATAATTGATTATATCATAGTTAGTCGTTTGACAAATAGACGTCAGAATAACAGATTTCCTTGCTAAAACACTAAAGTTGCAAAGCTTCAAGCTTTTAGGAGATAACTTAGTGCTCTGTAAGCTTTTCATTCCCCTGAAATTTCCAATTTGGTCGTATGATATAGAAAAATTTTAAAAAACTTGCAATTTCTGTGCAACAGAATATGTGAAAAAAGTTTCGAAAAAAATTTTTTTGATAAAATATAAAAGAACTTTTTTGAAATAAAAATTAAACTTTTACCAGATTGAAGCCTTTGAAGCTTTCAAAAAATCGTAGTCTTTTTGTGCAAAATTTAGAGTTTTCGATTTACAAAAGGGTTCCAAAAAATGAAATAGCAGGACGATTCGATTCTATAGGCTGATGTGTAATTTCAGAATAACTAATACTGGCGTAATAAAATTGATACAGTAAGGTTTTTTTGAATCTGAAAAAGATCTGTAAAAGAAAAATCCACTGTAAATGGAGCGTTTTTCAATTTCATTTTTTTTTTTTTTTTTTTTTTTTTTTTTT